TGACCCCGGGCCCTCGGGCAGCGCCCGAGTTTCCAAATGGTCAGTCCGCCCCTGCTCATCCCTGTAAACTGATACATCTGATAGAGAGCTTGTTCTTTTAAAAAAACAACAGACTTACCAGGTGGATCACTGGAAGAAAGCCCAAAATGGAAGACTAAGGCAGCCATGACATCTAAGGATTGTAAAGCTTCAATATCATAAATGTTTGCTTTTGGATTTGATATTTCTTTAAATATACCATTGGAAGAGCTGTGTTATATGTTTGGGGCAGCACAGTGGCTCAATGGTTAGCACTTCCACCTGGCAGTACTAGGGTTGTTGGTTCAAATCCCAGCCACAGCACCTCCACGTGGAGTTTGCATGTTCTCCCTGTGCCTGTGTGGGTTTCCTCCAGGTATTCCAGTTTCCTTCCACACTCCAAAGACATGCTGGTAGGTGAATTGGATCCTGTCTAAATTGTCCCTAGTATGTGTATGTATGAATGTGAGTTAGGGACCTTAGATTGTACACCCCTTGAGGGTTAGGGACTGATGTGAATGTACAATATATATGTAAAGTGTTGCATAAATTGATGGTGCTATACAAGTACCTAAAATAAATAAATGTTTGACAAGTGTTAAAAACATATATAAGTGTAAAAAAAAATAGAAAACACAATCCTCTATCCACATTTGATCCACAGAAAGGCAGAAACCCCATCAAAGCATGATTCCTTTGTGATCCCCCAGGAGAAAATCAGATATTATTATACAGGATTTATATAGCACCAACAGTTTGCTCAGCGCTGTACATTATAATGGGAGACAATACAGCAACAATACAGTTCAATACAAGAGGAATAGGAGCTCCTTGGAGCTTACAATCTAAAATATTCCCTGGATCAATAATGTCTGGTGTTATCACCTATAAATGTTAATATCCAGTTTTATTTTGTGCATTCAGGAATGCGTCTAGCTCTTTTATAAAATAAAAAATCTACTGAGCTGGTCAGAACTACACTATATTGAAAAAAGTATTGTCCCCGCCCTCCAAATCATGTGATTCAGGTGTTCCAATCACCTCCATGGCCACAGGTGTATACAATCAAGCCCCTAGGCATGCAGACTGCTTCTACAAACATTTATGAAAGAATGGTTCGCTCTCAGGAGCTCAGTAACTCCAAGCATGGTCCCGTGATAGGTTGTCACCTGTGCAATAAGTCCATCCGTGACATTTCCTGGTTACTAAATATTCCACGGTCAACTGTTAGTGGTATTATAACAAAGTGGAAGCAACTGGGAACAACAGCAACTCAGCCACCAAGCTGTAGGCCACGTAAAATGACAGAGCGGGGTCATTGCATGCTGAAGCGCACAGAAGTCGCCAACTGTCTGCAAAGTCAATAGCTAAAGACCTCCAAACTTCATGTGGCCTTCAGATTAGCACAACAGTGCAGAGGGCTTCATGGAATGGGTTTCCATGGCCGAGCAGCTGCATCCAAGTCTTACATCACCAAGTGCAATGCAAAGCATCGGATGCAGCGGTGTAAAGCACGCCGCCACTGGACTCTAGAGCAGTGGAGACGTGTTCTCTGGAGTGACAAATCACACTTCTCTGTCAATCCAATGGACATGTCTGGGTTTGGCAGTTGCCAGGAGAACGGTACTTGCCTGACTGCATTGTGCCAAGTGTAAAGTTTGGTGGAGGGGGAATATGGTATGGGGTTGTTTTTCAGGGGTTGGGCTTGGCCCCCTAGTTCCAGTGAAGGGAACTCTTAAGGTGTCAGCATACCAAGACATTTTGGACAATTTCATGCTCCCAACTTTGTGGGAAGAGTTTGGGGATGGCCCCTTCCTGTTCCAACATGACTGTGCACCAGTACACAAAGCAAGGTCCATAGAGACATGGATGAGCCAGTTTGGGGTGGAGGAACTTGACTGGCCTGCACAGAGTCCTGACCTCAACCCCATAGAACACCTTTGGGATGAATTAGAGTGGAAACTGCGAGCCAGGCCTCCTCCCCCTACATCAGTGCCTGACCTCACAAATGTTCTTCTGGAAGAATGGTCAAACCTTCTCATAGACACCCTCCTAAACCTTGTGGACAGCCTTCCCAGAAGAGTTGAAGCTGTTATAGCTGCAAAGGGCGGGGCCAACTCAATATTGAACCCTACGGACTAAGACTGGGGGGCCATTAAAGTTCATGTGCGTGTAAAGGCAGGCCGACCAATACTTTTGGTAATATAGTGTAGTTCTATAGGGAGTTTATTCCACATTTTCACAGCTCGCGGTATTAAACCCAAACCCAAAAATATAATATAGCAGCTTACCAATCATTAGATGTGATGGCTACATTGATTGTCTTTTTTTTAGCCTTTTTTCCCCTCCTGTATTGGAGCACCCCAACTCTGGGTGAAGGAGCAAAGGGGGCACAGTGGACAACAGGATTTTTCAGTTTGGAGGGAGGGGGATGTTAGCAGATTTAAACACACTAACTGGAAGTCAAACTCCAGCTCACGCTTTATAATCAGTTACAGAAAACAGTTTTTTTTCCTTTTGGGATAAAGGTTTTACATAAATAAATAAAAGCTGACCATTGTAAGCACCCCTTTCATTGTTAAATGGTTTCATCTCATCTCTGTAAACTGATACATCTGGTAAAGAGCTTGTTCTTTTGAAAAGCAACAGACTTACTGGCTGGATAATTTATGGACGCAAGTAACACCGCAAAGAATAGCATGCGATTTGAAGAGTAATGTGTGTGGGGGATGGTAGAGAGAGTGCCTCAACAAGGCCTGAGTTCCCCCATTAAGTATCATCCATTCTCATGAAGCCCACTCCTTTAGTGTTGCTATGTCATGAATGGAGCAGAACACTTCCCTCTTCACTTCACATGGACAGAAAGGCCCTGAGTACCTTCAAACACCAGTAGTGACCATGGTTTTGCAAAATTTAGAGAATTTTGCATTTTAAATGTTTCACTTTAACCACTTGCCCTCCGGAAGGTTTTACCCCCTTCATGAATCGGCCATTTTTTTCTATTTGGCACTGTGCTACTTTAACTGGTAATTGCTCAGTCATGCAACACTGTACTCAAATAAAATTTATATATTTTTTTCCACACAAATAGAGCTTTAGGTTGTATTTATCATCATTGGGTTTTTATTATATATATATATATATATATATATATATATAATATATATATATATATATATATATAAATTGTATTATTTATTTATTTATTTATTTTTAGATTGTAAGCTCCAAGGATCAGGCCCTCATAACCCTCTTGTATTGAACTGTATTGTTGCTGTATTGTCTCCCATTATATTGTAAAGTGCTGAGCAAACTGTTGACACTATATAAATCCTGAATAATAATAAAATAAATATATATATAAAAAGATTGACAATTTTGAAAAAAAGTAGGGATGCACCAATACCTTTTTTTTTAATTATCATTGGGTATGAGTACCATTAATTTCGGTCATAGCCGTCACATAGAATATATAAATTGGTTAAGGCCCGGCACTGGGACAAAAAAATAAGCCCGGGCATTTTAGACTGAACAGCCAATTTCTGGGGGGGGCGGAGGGTGCAAGGGCATTCGCAGGGGGCAGTTGGTGATGGAATATTCATGGAGTTGGTCCTCCGCACTGTAATATAAAGTACTACCCGCCAGACGCAACGTGATATATAATTGTATGCCATTCTACAATTGAGAGCATAGCACCTATGGCAATAAACAGTATTATACCCCAACTGGCTCTGAGGAAGAGGGTTGTCTCGAAACGCGTCAGTTAATTTGGCCCTAGGATGGCTCTCATCTAGACATCAGGGTTCATTGGCCCCCATTGGTCCAAGTGCATGTTATTTGACATGCAGACTGTCATCACATGTTTGTGAGTATGTTTTTATCTGAACTACAATACATTGCTAGGCCGGTGCGCTCTCTTTGTCTTTTTGCAGTTTGGTCTGGACTACCTCAGTCGTGTGTGAGAGCAGCAAGGCTTGGTCTATCCGTGGGACATCCTGATACACACACTCATCTGAGCCCTATCAGAGTCACTGCCTTCAGTCCTCCACACGTATGGACAGGAGCAGGGCGGACTGACCATTTGGAAACTTGGGCACTGCCCGAGGGCCCGGGGTCAGTAGAGGGCCCCATGAGATGCCCCTGGTACCTTTTTCATAGGCTTTTTTGAGTTTGGGCAAGGACACAGGGGCCCCATGATCCCCTATTGCCCGGGGGCCCCATGAGTTGTCAGTCCGCCCCTGGACAGGAGACATTCTTATTCATATTATTCACATTTTCCTCCACACAACTGCCGTTCACTGGATATCTTTTCTTTTTTGGACCATTCTCTGTAAACCCTAGAGAAGGTTGTGCGTGAAAATCCCAGTAGATCAGCAGTTTTTGAAATACTCAGACCAGCCAGTCTGTCACCAACAACCATGTCATGTTCAAAGTCACTTAAATCCCATTTCTTTTCCCATTCTGATGCTCGGTTTGAACTTCAGCAAGTCATCTTCACCACATGTAGATACCTAAATGTATTGAGTAACTTCCAAGTGATTGGCTGATTAGCAATTTGTGTTATCAAGTAATTGAACAGGTGTACCTAATAAAGTGGCTGGTGAGTGTAGATCACCCAGAGGGCAATGCTTTTTCTCAAGAAAAGTGGAGTTATGTTTTACAAGTTTGCCTGGAGTCCAGCTGGACTGGAGGGCATTTTTTGGCCCTTTTAGCACCCATTCACACCATTGTGGTGCATTAATGTGTGTTATACTATGCATTAAAGTGTTGCTAAAACCCCCGACCCTAAACCCCAGACCCTGCATTCACTATATCTGGTCTCCCTGGACCCTGCATCACTATATTTTGGTCTCCCCGGACCCTACACTCACTAGATCTGGTCTCCCAGGACCCTGCATTCACTATATCTGGTCTCCCCTGGACCCTGCATTCACTATATTGGTCTCCCCGGACTGCATTCACTACACTCACTAGATCTGGTCTCCCAGGACCCTGCATTCACTATATCTGGTCTCCCTGGACCCTGCATTCACTATATCTGGTCTCCCGGGACCCCGCATTCACTATATCTGGTCCCCCCGGACCCTGCTTTTCACTATATCTGGTCTCCCCCGGACCCTGCATTCACTATATCTGGTCTCCCAGGACCCCGAACTCACTATATCTGATCTCCCAGGACCCTACACTCACTAGATCTGGTCTCCCCGGACCCAGCATTTACTATACCTGGTCTCCCCAGGCCCTGCATTCACTATATCTGGTCTCCCCAGACCCTGCATTTACTATATCTGGTCTCCCCGGACCCAGCATTTACTATACCTGGTCTCCCCAGGCCCTGCATTCACTATATCTGGTCTCCCCAGGCCCTGCATTCACTATATCTGGTCTCCCCAGACCCTGCATTCACTATATCTGGTCTCCCCGGACCCTGCATTCACTATATCTGGTCTCCCCGGACCCTGCATTCACTATATCTGGTCTCCCCAGACCCTGCATTCACTATATCTGGTCTCCCCGGACTCTGCATTCACTATATCTGGTCTCCCCGGACCCTGCATTCACTATATCTGGTCTCCCCGGACTCTGCATTCACTATATCAGGTCTCCCCAGACCCTGCATTCACTATATCTGGTCTCCCAGGACCCTGCACTCACTATATCTGGTCTCCGAGGACCCTGCACTCACTATATCTGTCTCCCCGGACCCTGCACTCACTATATCTGTCTCCCACAGTACACAGAACATGGAAATGCAATTATTTTAGTTAATATAAACTGCTAAACATCTTTTATCATCAGCATTTAGAGCAGACTTGTGACTGACTTCTATCAGTGTCCATCAGAGCACTGGTTAAAGCTTGTAGGAAGAGTGTTTTTTTCTGCTATAGGAGGATGCAGAACCCCTGAACTCTGTCTGGACAGTGCTGATTGGCCCTGTGCTGATCACATGCACTCTCCCAAGAAAAAGAAAAAACCTAACAATATGCACCGAACTGAGCATGTGCAGAGTGACTCCACACCATATGTCTTAGCAGGAGATAAGAGGGGGAAACTGGAAACAGGGGAGGATCAGAGAAGACAGGAGCAAACAGAATTTTTACACAATACAGAGGATTAACCCCTTAGGTTCCACAGTGAGTATAACAAGCATGCTTTACTGCATATACAGACTGATTGTACTGTTGTGGGTTTAGTAACACTTCAAAGGCTCAGTTAGTCGAATTTCAAAATCAATAGCGGCACCATCGGATTACAAAATGCACAAAATGTCCTATTTTCTAAAGAAAATTCATTCGGGGTTGGGTCAGGGGCAGACTGACAGCTCATGGGGCCCCCGAGCAATAGGGGATGATGTATTTGCCCACACTCAAAGCACACAGAAAAAAGCCTATAAAAGGTACCGGGGGCATTTCATGTTGCCCCCTACTGACCCCGGGCCCTCGGGCAGTGCCCGAGTGCTCAAATGGTCAGTCCACCCCTGGGTTGGGTTTATTAACACTTTAACAAGCACTGCGTTACAACAGCCAATTTATTTACACACCAAAAAAAAGCTGCATGTAGCATTGTCCATGCCCGTTTGTCAGCAAGGTGCGCTGCGGTACCGTTCAGAATGAATTCTGCCCTTGCTCCAGATCTTGTGCAGCTATTCTGATGGGCATTAGAGGGAACAATGTTTTTTTTGTGACATTTTCATACAGGAGTATACTTGTTTTGAATAATTAACCAGTCTGAGTTGTCTGGATCAGTGGGCCCCCGGGGACAGCGGTTGCGCTATTCTCCTTTTAAATGTCGACTTGGACGCAGTGATGTATGGTTCCATATAACGTTCCTTCAGGACTGAATTTCAAAGCCATCTCTATTTCATTTCAATCAACTATAAAAGTGTGTGTGTTTATCTTTACTGTGTGAAGTGTTAAAACTTTTATGTTTGCTTGATGCTGTAATGTGTAATGCAAATGAGACTTGCCCTGACTATTCCCCCAATGAACTGAGTTAGCAAGAATTCCTGACAGCTGTTGTAAACAGGGAAAACAGGGAGCATGCCATTAGTATTTGGAAGGAAGATTAAGCTGTTGCTAATTTTAATATTATTTTTGTCGTATAAAAAGTTTTATTAGTATTTCAAGTTTTATAATAGAGAAAAAGTGTGTAAACAGCAGACAAAAGCACAGCAAAGTGGTACAAGTAATGCGACAAAGAAGGCACAACGCATCAATGATTTTAAGGGCGCAGTAACCCCTGTCAGTGAGGTTAAAGTATCAAAGCTTCATTTTTTTCTAAAATAACAAACATTTATTTTAGGTACTTATATAATGCCATCAATTTACATATATATTATACATTCACATCAGTCCCTAACCCTCAAGGGGCGTACAATCTAAGGTCCCTAACTCACATTCATTACACATACTAGGGGCAATTTAGACAGGAGCCAATTAACCTACCAGCATGTCTTTGGAGTGTGGGAGGAAACTGGAGTACCCAGAGGAAACCCACACAGGCACAGGGAGAACATAAAAACTCAGGCAGGTGGTGCCATGGCTGGGCTTCAAACCAACGACCCTAGTACTGCCAGGCAGAAGTGCTAACCATTTAGCCACTGTGCTGCCCAAACATGTCATGCTTACCTGCTCTGTGCAGTGATTTTGCACAGAGCAGCCCAGATCACCTTCTTTTCGGGTCTCCAACAACGCTCCTGACTCCCCCCTCTCAAGAAGTGCCCCCAGGTAAGGCCGCTTACACCAGGGGCACAGCTGTATGCTCGTCCCCTAGCTGCTGTTCTATGTGTCCATAAGACACATAGAGCTGTGGCTCAGCCCCGCCTCCTACTCTCTCCTCATTGGCTCACTGGCTGTGAATGACAGCAGCAGGAGGCAATGGACTCCCACTGCTCTCTCAGCCAATGAGGAGGAAGAGAAAATGGTAAAAAAAATTGAGCCTTTAGAAGCACTTTAATGCTCCATGCACACTTGCATTTTTTTTTAAGTGTTACTAAACCCAGGACCCTGCATTCACTATATCTGGTCTCCCCACACCCTGCATTCATTATATCTGGTCTCCCCGGACCCTCCATTCACTATATCTGGTCTCCCCGGACCCTGCATTCACTATATCTGGTCTCCCCGGACCCTGCATTCACTATATTTGGTCTTCCCGGAACCCTGCATTCACTATATCTGGTCTCCCAGGACCCTGCATTCACTATATCTGGTCTCTCCGGACCCTGCATTCACTATAACTGGTCTCCCTGGACCCTGCATTCACTATATCTGGTTCTCCAGACCCTGTCTTCACTATATCTGAACTCTCCAGACCCTGCATTCACTATATCTGGTCTCCCCAGACCCTGCATTCACTATATCTGGTCTCCCCAGACCCTGCATTCACTATATCTTGTCTTTCCGGACCCTGCATTCACTATATCTGGACTCTCCAGACCCTGCATTCACTATATCTGGTCTCTTCACTATATCCCGGACCCTGCATTCACTATATCTGGTCTCCCCAGACCGTGCATTCACTATATCTTGTCTCTCCGGACCCTGCACTGACTATATCTGGTCTCCCGGACCCTGCATTCACTATATCTGGTCTCCCCAGACCCTGCATTCACTATATCTAGTCTCCCCGGACCCTGCACTCACTATATCTGGTCTCCCCGGACCCTGCATTCACTATATCTGGTCTCCCCGGACCCTGCACTCACTATATCAGGTCTCTCCAGACCCTGCATTCACTATATTTGGTCTCCCCGGACCCTGCATTCACTATATCTGGTCTCCCCGGAACCCTGCATTCACTATATCTGGTCTCCCCGGAACCCTGCATTCACTATATCTGGTCTCCCCAGGACCCTGCATTCACTATATCTGGTCTCTCCCCCGGACCCTGCATTCACTATAACTGGTCTCCCTGGACCCTGCATTCACTATAACTGGTCTCTCCAGACCCTGTATTCACTATATCTGGACTCTCCAGACCCTGCATTCACTATATCTGGTCTCCCCCGGCCCCTTCATTCACTATATCTTGTCTCTCCGGACCCTGGACTGACTATATCTGGTCTCCCCGGACCCTGCATTCACTATATCTAGTCTCCCCGGACCCTGCACTCACTATATCTGGTCTCCCCGGACCCTGCATTCACTATATCTGGTCTCCCTGGACCCTGCATTCATTATATCTCCTCTCCCTGGACCCTGCACTCACTATATCTGGTCTCCCTGGACCCTGCATTCACTATATCTCCTCTCCCTGGACCCTGCATTCATTATATCTCCTCTCCCTGGACCCTGCACTCACTATATCTGGTCTCCCTGGACCCTACATTCACTATATCTGGTCTCCCCGGACCCTGCATTCACTATATCCTCTCTCCCCGGACCCTGCATTCACTATATCCGCTCTCCCCGGACCCTGCATTCACTATATCCGGTCTCCCCGGACCTCGCATTCACTATATCCGGTCTCCCCGGACCCTGTATTCACTATATCTGGTCTCCCACAGTACACAGAACATGGAAATGCAATTATTTTAGTAAATATAAACTGCTAAATACCTTTTCTCACCAGCAGTTAAAGCAGTCTTGTGACTTCTATCAGTGTCCAGCTGAGCACATTTTAAAGCTTATAGGAGGAGTTTTTATTTTGCGCTAGGAGGATGCAGAACCCCTGACCTCTGTCTGGACAGTGCTGATTGGCCCCGTGCTGATCACTCGCTCTCTCCCAAAGTAAAAAAAAACCTCTCAGCAATACAAACAAACTGAGCATGTGCAGAGTGACTCCACATGATATGCCTTATCAGGAGATAAGAGGGGGGCACTAAAAGAAGGGGAGGATCAGAGAAGACAGGATCAAACAGAGTTTTTACACAATGCAGAGGATTAACCCTTTAGGTTCCACAGTGAGTATATCAAGCATGCTTTACTGCATATACAGACTGACTGATTTTACTGTTGTGGGTGTAGTAACACATTAAGCTCCTACAGGCTATTATGAGCATTTATTTCTGTGTGCTCTTAGAAGCTAATAGTGTAATTCTATGTGTCCATGCACACTCTTTTATGCTATAAGAGGTTTTCAAGCTTCAGCTTTTAGGAGCAGACAAAAAAATAGAAATTTAGAACAAAGAGCAAATGTGAAATTCTATGTGAAACTGGGCAAATCTGTCACAGAGATGTTTGATACGATTCAGCATGTTTAGGGTGAGTCCTATGAGATGTTTTGAGCGGCACGGACACTTCAAGAGCAGAACATCACTAGAAGACGACAGAGATCAGGAAGACCTTCAACAAGCTCAACCCCCAAATATTCCCTCTTACCGAAGATGAAGATCCAGCTCAAAGGTCGCCGTTTTGACAACATTGCGGAGATCCAGCGATTTGCCCAGTTTCATGCAGAATTTCACATTTGCTCTTTGTTCTAACTTGCTGTCAGTGATGAAATAGCAGATGTGGTAACGCACGTGGTCAGAATACCTACATGAAAGAGAAATATATTTCCAATATATTTAGAAAAAAAAAAAAATTATATATGTAACATATATTTGCAATATATTGGCCTATGCCAGCAATGGGCAAACTACGGCCCGGCGGACCTTTTAATCCGGCCCGCGGAGCTAGGCTCCTCTCACAGTCCGCCCTGAAGACCGGTGTAGCATGAAAATCTCCTACGAGTATCTGTCCCCCTCGACGTATCTGCGCATGTGCCGGAGATCGCCGATCGGCTGCTAATGCCTGAAACTGGCACATGCGCAGATACGTCGAGGGGGACAGCTCCTCATAGGAGACAGATTTTCATGCTACACCGGAACGGCGCGGGAAGACGGCGAGAGGAACGCGCGGAGCAAAGGTAAGTGAATTGACACAGGGGGGACTTGGGGACTTAATATGGGGGATGAATTACTATATGGGGGATGAATTAATATGGGGGATGAATTACTATATGGGGGATGAATTACTATATGGGGGATGAATTACTATGGGGGACTTGGGGACTTAATATGGGGGATGAAATTACTATATGGGGGATGAATTACTATGGGGGATGAATTACTATATGGGGGATGAATTATTATATGGGGGATGAATTACTATGGGGGATGAATTACTATATGGGGGATGAATTACTATGGGGGATGAATTACTATGGGGGATGAATTACTATGGGGGATGAATTACTATATGGGGGATGAATTACTATAGGGGGGATGAATTACTATATGGGGGATGAATTACTATAGGGGGGATGAATTACTATATGGGGGATGAATTACTATATGGGGATGAATTAGTATATGGGGGATGAATTACTATGGGGGATGAATTACTATATGGGGGATGAATTACTATATGGGGGGTGAATTACTATATGGGGGGTGAATTACTATGGGGGATGAATTACTATGTGGGGGATGAATTACTATGGGGGATGAATTACTATGGGGGATAAATTACTATATGGGGGATGAATTACTATATGGGGGATGAATTACTATGGGGGATGAATTACTATATGGGGATTAATTACTATGGGGGATAAATTACTATGGGGGATAAATTACTATGGGGGATAAATTACTATATGGGGGATAAATTACTATATGAGGGATGAATTACTATGGGGGATTAATTACTATATGGGGGATTGAATTACTATATGGGGGATTAATTACTATGCTTACTATGGGGGAATATTACTATACTTACTATGGATGACACATGCACATCATTCATCTACTCTTGGTCCGGCCCCCGGGTCCAATATATGAACCCATTGCGGCCCTCAAGTCAAAAAGTTTGCCCACCCCTGGCCTATGCTAATATATTTTAACATGTATTCTAAAAAATGTAAATTTAAATATATGCTCTAAAGGCATTTTTTTTAAATATATTCTTCAGATTTTTTTAACATACAAAAAGTCATTTTAACATATATTTTTACATATATTAGCTAATGCATGCCAAAAATGTAGATTAAATGTATTTTTCAAAGATGTATAGTTGAAAATGTATTTTTAAAAATATTTTTCATATTTTTTTAAATATATAAAAAACTAATTTCAACATACAGTGTATGTATATATATATATATATATATATATATATATATATACATATATATATATATATATATATATATATATATATATATATATATACAGTATATATATATATATATATATATATTTATATATATATATTTATATATATAAATATATTTTTTAAATATATTGAATACGGCCAAATTTGTAGTATTTCAAATATATTTCAATATATTTAGGAAGAATATTTTAAAAATATATTTAATAAATATTTTTCTTGCACGTGGGTAGCACCAGTTGCACAGCTCCCAATGTACACAGGACGCTGTTTGCTGGCACACTGACTTATGAAGGTCGGTGCTCCCTGTGACTGTGCATTCAGCCTTATGCTTCCATCTGTTGGTGTGTTGCAAAACTAGTCTTGAAACTTTTTGATACCACCTCTTAGTAAACACGGGGAGGTCACTCGTTTGTCATGGTCATTGTTCAGAGAATGTGTTCTTTGATTGGACCTTTTCAAAATGGAGAACACTTTGCATTAATTGAAGAAAACACAAGGCGTTCTCTGAATGGCAATCCTGCACAGTGAATGACCCTCTGTGTTCACTGGGCAGCAAATCAACCCCTCAGAAGATAGCAATGATCACAGGGATCAGCCAAGTAAGGAATGTGCATACTCACATTGATCTAAGCTGGACCAAGGTAACTATGCAAAACTGCATTGTTGGAATTCAGCTTAAGTAAATCAAGAGCAAATCAAGTATTGAAGTCAGAAAGTTAATTTTGAATAAACCAATGCAGCAAGATTACAGTGAGCTCCTCACATGTGCATTGGGTGTGTCTCCCCCCTGAATAGTGTGATATTCAACTTATTTTCTCTTTTGTATCACCAATCGGATTCCATATACCAAGGCAAGTATGGATTTGACTGGTGGTGGTGAAGACCTTAGTACTGGTACATCTAGCTTTTTATGTACTAGAGAGCAAGGTGGTACGGTTGTGTTTAGGAACTATCTTTCATATACTAAAAAAAAAAACTATAAGGGATTCTCTTATTGGAAATAACGAATAAACAGCAGTGGTATGACTGTATGACCTTCTGTAATCTCTGGATAAAAAAAACAAAGCCCTGAGCCATTAACTGGAATGGAACTATGGATTATTTAAAAAAAAAAAAATACTAGCATGGCACCTCCTAGATCGGTGCTAAGAGTAGATAGCTTTAGTCCAGGCTCATGGGTTCACTCTTTGTCTCACAGGCTGCAGATTTAATTGCTCTCATGCTGTATTTTCAGAACTACCTGGACAGTTCTGGAGCATAGGTGTGGAATAATGTAAATGGGCAGCATGAATATTTATACTGTCCCATCCAATCTTTGTGGGCCCTTTGTGGGTTGCTGGAAGATTGGTATAAATAGACTGAGATCTGAGCTGTCTTGTCTTGTCTTGTCCTGGAGAGGAGGAGTCCAGCGTGGAGGGCCTGCTGTCCTCTGGGCAGTCCTGCCATGTACTTGCTGTTCGTAAGGCCTCACCTGGGCTAGAAGCTGGAAGCTGACTAAGGGGCTATCTGTTGTTGGATCTGGTCTGTGACAACTGGTAGAGGTGCCTGGAGGACATGGAAGGAGGCATCCATTCAAGAACATTTGTGAGTATGTATTGTGTGAGAGATCCTAGAGACCATGGGCAGCTGCCACCCCTGTAATGATAGAGTCAGTTGAGAGTGCAGGAAAAGGGAATACCGGTTGGTATCCTCAAGGGCTCAGTCCATCTTATTCTGTCTTAAAGGGACTTAAGTTGCTGAAGGAAAGAAGTTTGTGCCTTTATCTGCTTCAACTAAGCCAAGTCCTATACTGGCCCCTACAAGGTGCTGCAGAAGAAAGTTTGTGTCCTCATTGTGTACATAGTTCTTTTTGGAGCAGCCCATTCATTCCCAATCCCTATTCCAATTATACTTAAAAAAAATGTAAAAATTAAAAAAAAAAAACCACCCCTGGACTGTTTACAGAGACAAAGAATATGTCTGTGTGCCTGGCTGCAGGGCAAAACTACAGGAAAACACCCCAGGGACCTATCTAACTGTAGGCCCCTATGGGGGTATCACAACACTGGCATGCAAGGAGGAAGTTTCTTTTAATATTAAATAGGGTTTGTGCTTAGTTTTCCTTAGTCAGTGCGCTTATATGTCTGTGTTGAGGAATGGTCAGCAATTTACTAACCCCGTTTCTGTATCATCCAGGACATGGTAGAAGAGACTGGTACTCATGCTTGATGCTGAAGGCCATATGAGATATGAACTGATGTTGAGATTCTTTTCTATTTCAATGGTTTTTATTAATTTTTTAAACAATATAAAGCGGAGGCAATAAAACACGCCCACGCAGGGGCTATCAATTGCACAGATT